TTGCAGCCTCAAAGACCTCTCTGCTCATGTTTCAGCGGCACTGGAGTCAGGGAAATTCCGGCTTGCACCCAGTGGACCCAAGATTACTGACAAAGTGAAGTTCGGGCCCCTCAGTGCCAAAAAGCTGGCCCAAGACCTTTCAGTGATCCACTGTAGGAGTTGCTCCCTGGGCCCGCCCTCCTGCAGCGTCAATGGTCTCTCTGCTCAGGTATCAGCATTGCTGGAAGTGCTCGCTTGCACAAAGCTGACCCAAGTTACTGATAAAAGCAGATGCTGAGTGTAGATGCCAGGGGTGATCACTGGTTATGTTGGTGTGGTCGCTGGTATGCTGGTGTGGTGTATCTTCTTCCTTAACCCAGGGAGGTCTTGGATGGACCTTCTTGCCTGCTGGTCCTTGATACATTCTTTGTGATGATGAATGCCACAGCATTCCTCTTCAACCTGTCATTTGCAGCATAGTAGATAATATGGTTGTCTGATTGAAAATGGCCAAAACCAGTCCATTTCAGCTCAATAATGCCTAGGATATCAATATATATGCATTCCATTTAATTTTCGACAACTTCCAATTATCCTAGATTCATTCTTCATACATTCCATGTTCTGATTACTAATGGATGTTTTCAGCTATTTCTCGTTTTGAGTTGTGCAACATCAGCAAATGGAGGTTCCGAAAGCTTTACCCCATTCACATCAAGGTCGACTCATATTTTGAGCGTCTTCTGACCTGAGGGGCTCATTTTCTCGCACTATATGAGACAATGTTTCAGGGCTATTCATCAAATTTTCCAGTAACATATCAGTGTTTCACGACTATTCATAAGGTTTTCATTGGCCAATTCTTTGAGAAGTGGATGGCCTCTTCCTTCTTCTGAATACATACATATTTTTTTATATTCTACTTTTTATATAAAACATGTATCTAAATGTACTTAGTGCAGTTTTGTTATTATTTGTGTTTATTTAATTAGGTTAGTGGGTTTGTGCCTTGGAAAAGAATCAAATTGTGATTATTTTCCAAGGCTCTTAATATATACATTACTAAATTATTTTTCTGTTTAAATTCATGCTAGCAGTATACTTACAGTAAAACCTGTGAAAGCCAGAATGTGTTTAAGGCAGAAACTGTCAAAGCAGGAAAACGAAAATATTTTCCATTAAAACCATCAATAGAAAAGTGGTAAGACTGCATCCCGTCACAGGCAGAAATCTTGTTATATCTGGAAAAGCAAGGTAGTCCCATCCAGTTCTGGTTCTCACAGTTTCACTGTGCATGTACTTCTCTCAATAATTAATACTGAAAAAGGTAGTGGTTTTTTTTTTTTTTTTTTTAAGAAAAAAAAAAAAAAGAAAAGAACCAAGCAGTAAAAAGATGTATATTGATTGGACCAAAAATTGATACATTACTTTTATGTGTAGTAAGAATTCATTTCAATTCAGCCAAATAAGTATTTCCTGAATTTGTCTTCGTCTTTGTTCTAAAAGATAAAGTAAACCTTAGTCTTTAATTAGTAGATTAATTTTGATGACATTTATTGGTTCACGTAAACCAACATGGATATTGATAAATGGAGAAAGGCAATTTACAGAAGGGAAAACAGAAATGGCTCATAAACACTTAGGAAAATATTCAATCTCACTAATAATCAAAAGGAATTCTGGTGGTGCAGAGCATAAGGCATTTTTGACTGTTAACGATAAGGTTGGCAGTTCAAACCCAGTAGCTGCTCATGGAAGTAAGATGAGGCAAACTAGTTCCACAAAGATTTACTACCTTCAAAACTCGAATAGGGTCACTATGACTAAGAATCAACTTGATGACAGTGGGTTTGGTTTCGATTTTAATAATCAAAAGAAATACAAAATAATATAACATTTCCACACTATCTAATTTGCAAATATATGCACATAAACACATGTGTATTAGTGAGATTATTTAGTGCTGATAAAGTCAAAGAGAAACAAGTATTCTTAAATACCACTAACAGGAATCAAAACTGTTACAACTTTAGGGGAAAGAATTTGGCATTATCAGTTTAAAACATTAAGGGAACTTAAAATACTTATACACAGGACCACACAGTTATTTACCTTCTACCAATCTATTCCAAGGAAATATTATTAAAGGAGAATAAAGCTTAATATACTATGTAGTCACTATAGCAGCATTTATTATTATGAAAATTAGAAAAAAAATAAATGTTTAACAAAATCACAATGGTTAAGTAATTTACAGTATAGTTAGAGTATAATTTTAAAATTTTGTGTAAGAAAAGAGCTATTAGGTGACTGGGATCTTAAAAGCTAGCAAGCTGTCATCTAGACGCAATGATGGGTCTCTCCTTGTTCAGATCAAAGAAGAATGAAGAAAACCAAAATTCATGGAAACAATTAGTCCTAGCGACTGGTACACCATCTGATCTGCAGCGCATACAAATGAGACCAGAAGAACTAGATGGTGCCCGGCTACCACTGTCATCTACTTGGAAGGGGATCTATGTAGGAAATCCTTGATAGAGAGGGAGAACAATGTGAAACAAAACTCAAAATCATTTGGAGGGGGGAAAAAAAAGGTGGGGACCAGGTTTGCTGGTCTGACAGAGCCTGGTGGAACCACT